AACTAAAACAAGAAAAACCAATCTAACTGTAGCATAAAACATTTATATACACGCTAATGCAAAAGAGTTTCCAGTCTTTTCTACAGGGGAAAGAGAACAAAATAAGAGAATCTTAACTGATGGCAATGAGAGCACAATCACGTGATTCAACGACAGTTCCATTTACAAGACTACGTATCACACCAATAACCAAAACAAGTGTCCACGGAAAAAAAGCTGATTTGATGGACCATGCTTTCATCAGCTTATATCAATCAATAGTACAATATATTACTCTACCCCACATCTTCCTCTTCTCAAACTCCTACCTAACTTAGAAAACCTTTCATTTTCTTTTGCTTGATAAAGCCGGGAAACTGTTTTTTGTGGCAGTTAAAAGAAAGGAAAAGTTGCTCTTATCATTTCCTTTGTATTAATAATGGGGTTTGGTGGTAACTCATAAAGCAAATGAAAGAAAACAAAACCTATTTTACTTGCTCCTCCCCTACCCCCTCCCCAAACGATAAGATACGGCATGGAGAAGTTTTTAAACCTGACAAAAAATGGTACAGTGATACTACATCAATATGATGGGCAGTCCATGTGCTAACTCACCAGCTTTTCCTATCCCTTCTTTCTGCAACCATCAAATTCATCCCTGCTCAGCTTTTTTTTTCTCTCTTTCTGTTTTGATACACCTAAGTTGGGACTTCCCCTTTGCAGATCCACTTTATCCATATCAACATTTTAGCTAAAACAGCTTTTTGATTGCATCATCTCCCATCATGTTACTGGGTCTATCTTGTAAGATTGGCCTACTCCCCATTTTTATCAATAATATTAAACTTCATCCTGGAAACAGCTGTCGCACCTCGCCATGGTGGATGGATAGATAGGTAGGTAGATAGATAGATAGATAGATAGATAGAACCCCATTAATCCAAAACAGAGCAAAACAAAATAAAAATGCAAACTTTGCTGAAAAAGCACTCCACTTGAAACAAATAAATAAGTAGATATAAAGAAAACTTGCCTGAGTCTATCTTGTTTTCTACTGTCAAAATCAATGACCAACAAATGGAACCTTTGTTGCATTTAGCTCTGGACAAGCTTGGAACTTTCTTTCTTTTTTTTTTCTTTTGGAAGGAGCAAGCTTGGAACTTTAGTTAGTGCAGCTGATATGTGAAAGGTTTATGATTAAGCATGTGAAAAGGATTGGATTTTTGTTTGAGGATTGAAGACAGCAAGGAGTGGCTGTTTTGGATGGATTTGAAGGTTAGATGAACATACCAGAAGCTGTTTAAGCTGTGTACCAACCGACAATGGCGGATGTTGTTCAGTAAAAGAGAATAAAACTCACCATAAACTAAAAAAAGAAAACTGGGAAGAGATTGGAGAACGTGGGGAAGCTACAAATACTTGATTATGTGAAAATGTATTTGGTAAAAGAGCATGCTTTCTGTATAAAAAATTAGTATATATGGCACTTCACATGAGCGGGAATATTGGCACTGGAACTTTAGTCTCCGGATTTTGGTCTTTTCCATGTCATGCTCACTTGCAATGTAAATTATGAGTACAAGAGCAGCAATGCAGCCTCTGGACTGAAGGACAAGAATGTTTTTTTTTATCTTTCTTTGTTCATTTTCATCCCAAGACCATACCTCCAGTTCTAAAGCTTTAAACTCCATTCAAGTTTGATTTTGCTGGTATACATGACCCTAAGCTCAATACAACCTTCAAACTAATATCAACTTCAAGTATTAAGAAAACATAATATATATAATTCTTTTGTGGCAGAAAATTAAATCTTAAATTCACAATTACATCAGATTATGTTACAGATTTAACATGTTAATTTCACACACACACACAAAAAGAAAAAAAAAACCCACTGAAAGCTGTCTTACTCTCTCCTGTCACAGTAGAGTTTGATGCATTATATGATTTATGCCCCCAGACATTAATTCTGAAGGTTTGAAGTCACATTCACAAGTGGAAAAGCAACTACTTAGCAGCCATTGATGGTGGGGTTGAGAAAGTGAATGCAAATTGCTGGTGAGAGAAGTTCTGCTAGTAGGGTAGCTTTGGCATCCTTGGGAGTAGGTTATAGACAAAAGAGTCAAAACACAAAAAGATAAAAAGCTAAAGGAGGTCCCCAATTTCGACTTGTGCACAAGTTTGACAAAATTGAGATAAAAAAACTGATCAATGGCATTTCCATTGGTAGGTGAAGTATGGTTCTCACTCTGTTTTCAAATTACCTTACTTTCCCTTTTCTCAATAGAAATTAATTATTTCTCATGATGATGATAATAGGGTAAAGAAAGAAAAAATAAATAAAAAAACCTCTATCCTAATAGGACATGAACCTTGGGCTTTAAGTTTTTTCCTTTTCTAGGACTCTTGAAGATTGCAACTCAAAATTTTTAAATAGGAATCAACTTAGGAACCTATGTGGAATACATTGGAATGACTTAGTATAAGATAAGCAGAAGAATCACAGGATAAAAGGCAATATCAAAGACAAAAATGGTCAGCATGCATGGCATCTAGTTCTGAGATCATGTTGAAGCATCCAATCCAGAATATGGTCAATAACAAGAATAAAATACCTGGTATGAACAATCCACTAATTCAAGAGATTACTACCCAATTTTTTCTTTTTGGTCCAAGGGAGAGTAGTACAGCTAAAATTCCAGAGGCTTACCCAATTTTCCACCTACCTCAGCATCTTGAGCTAAATCAAGTAAATGTGCAATCAAATTCTGTAGCCACAATGGGACAACAATTAGGAAAGAACCATCATTGGACAAACTGCTTATCTGTAATTTTTTTCAAAGTTGATAACCTTTTCAGTTCACTATCCAAAAATTACCTAAACAGTTTAAACTGTCCAGCTCCCAAAAGAAACTATGTACAATTATTACTCTCTAGATTTCTCTACAGCTATAATTGGCATTCATTATTGCAACCAAATAGCCATGACCCATATGTTTACTTCTAGCATATGTACCAACAAAATTAACCTTCCCTACAAGCAACGCAACTTGGTTTAACAAGTGTCTTTCTTTGGATTAATTACAAATCAAAATTTTCAATTTTGCTAAATGGCAAAATCCCTTAAATGTGGTAGGGTGTAGGTTAACTTTAAACTGAAAATTGGAGCTAGCAATGAGCCAGACCCTCCCATTACAGGCAACATCATGTAGCCCTGGACATGTTGGTGTGGGACTCAGGACTCTGGCTCAAATATCACAAATATCTGGTTATTGTCCCCCATTTTTTGGGATTTCCTTCTCCTCTATTTTCCTCTAATCTTTGAAGGGGTTGGACTGTCCGAATTGCATGATCAAATCAAAACTTGAAGCCCAAAGTTGAAAATCTTTTGTCAAGTTTTTGATCAGGGAAAAAAAATCAAGCCCAAACATCTTAATTCATTACATGGAATTGGGAAATGGAAAGTTGCATTCCCCATGCATGATCATAGATTCACTGCAGTGAGCTTCATGGTTGAATGAGAATTTTCTCTGGTAGATAGCCAAGCATAGGGATTTGAGATGTCATATTGTCCTTTCCAGTGAATCTCACAATCTCTTGAGAAAAGCTCTCCACCTTTTTTCTGCTTGATCCTGTTCCCAAGCCATGATCTGCCCACTATCCAGCCTACATTGGTTGAGTGCTTGTGTACAATAAAGAGTCTAATCCTAGCTTCTTCTGTTTCTTTTTCCTATGGTAAAGTTGAGTCTCATCCTCAATCATAATATCAGTTAAGTCAAATCTTATGGTGTATTAATTCTAAAAATCCTGAAGCAATCAAAATAAAAAATTGAGAATCACTAGTGCAAATGCTTTTATGCACATTCTATGACATGTCATTAGTGGCCAACTACTCATGGCTACTGGTTCAGAGCTTGATTTTCTCCTTCAAAACCAGATTTCTTATAAACAAGATAAGTTTCTGATAACACTGAAAAAGTTGTTGCAAACACATATATCTAGCAAGCTGCATAGTCTAGCTTATTTAGAGGGTCATTCACAAGTTTGTAAATCAGAAAAATGCTCGACTAAACACATATTCCTTCCGCCTTTAAATGTTTCTCTCTCTTTTAACTTTTACAAAAATTAAGACAAAAATTTAGTGAAAGTATTAAGAGTCTTCCCAAAAAAGAGAGATAAACAAAAAAATGTTGTGGGTAGTACTGGATGGTTATGCCATGAAAATATGATGGTAATTAGAGGCATGGTTAATAACCCAATTAAACTTGATCACCAAGTTGTTCAAGTAACGATAGCAAGCCCAAAATTTTTCTAGATTTATATTCCTCACTTTTAATTAGCTCAGTACTCTTTCTGTTTGGCTTGTGATGGAAAACTGCTGAGCTTTGTTTTGGACATGGGATATGCAGGAAACCAAACCTTATAATTGTAAAAACTAAACATCTGCATCAATCCCTTTGTCTGCAAGAAATAGGTAGGAAAAGAATTAATTACACACCATGATGTTATCTTCTCAATGAATATATAAATTGGACCCTGGAAACAATCCTTGGCTGCCTAAACCTATCATGTAAAAGCCTGGGGAGAAAAGGACTTGTCAACCTTGCCTTGGCTTGTTACTTAATCAGGGTGTCAAAATCATTGCGCTATTCTGCTTTCAAAACCACATCACTTACCATCAGAAGTACAACTAAGCCACTGTCATCACAATCTAATAATCCACTCAATTTACCTCAATTACATAAAATGTGTTGACTGTAAAGCTTTCAAATACAACAGTAATACATTCTCAATTTGTATCACTTTATTTTGGGCTATGGATTACTGATCTGACATGATAAAAATTTAAAAAAAGAACACAGAAGTATACATATTTACATAGACTAACAAGGAACATATATATATAGATGAATTAGAGAAGAGAAAATATATATGGGGAAGAAGAACAAAATCAATTTAAGAAGATGGAAAGAGAAAAACAACAACCAGCTAGAGATGGCAGCACCCTAACTGATCTAACTTCAGTGACCAATTCCTGGGCTTGGAACATCACCTTGCCTTCTGTAGAAATCATTGTAGTCATAATCAGCTGGGCTTGGAATATCTCCTGAATACTCCTGCTGCATGTCTAAAAGCTTTCTTGTTCTTGTCAACTCCATCTGGCATGCAGGATCACAACTCCAGCTAAACCTGCTGCTGGTAGCCACCTTGCATTGAAACATCATGAACAATACAAGTACTGCAAGCAGCAGAAAGTTGGGCTTGATCATCTGCTCCCTCTTTGCCATTGCACAAACTGATAACTTTTGCATTAAGGAGAACCAGTTTTGGAGAAAGTTAAGGTATACACATCTAAATAATTTATAGGGCACTTGCTTGGTGGCATCATGATTATAATAAGATAAAATAGTATTATTAGACTCGTAAAAAGTAGGGTACTAGGGCCAGAACATGGAATTGATAAAGTGTAGAGCATGAAAAATTGATCTCTTTTCTTTTTTTTTTTCTTTGGTAAATGAGAAATCAATGTTATTAATTTAATGTGAATTATAGAAGGTTGCAGATGCTACTATCATGACTTGCTGTCTTTGACCATAGCATATCCAAGAATAATAATAGGCATGACCTGGGTGCACTAAGCTCAGCTCACTGTTTTGACAAATGCAGCTCACATGAAAAAAAGACAATGTCTGAAAATTGTCTGCCTATAAAAACATATGTATCAGAAAAGCTTATGACAGTTTGGTTTCCAAGTTTTCTCATGTATCCATGATGAATTCATTTTGTTTAAGAATTGCCTTCTCTTCCATTGATGAGAATAAACTTGTAAAGGTAACCAGTATTGCAAATGAGATTATTATTTTATATTATAATTAGAAAGTCTCTGGGCCTTGGCCTTTAATGCTAATGCTCCACAGTTTATGATTAGAATCATGCATGCATGCTAGCTGAAACCAGTGAAATATAAATTATATCCGGGAAAAAGATGGTTTTCATTTGATAATTAAATGCTATTACAAATGGAATCCAACTGCCTGGCGTGATGAAAAACCAATCATACTCTCTTTTCTCCTATGTCTCCTTATTATGGCTTTTAGTTCTCTAGTTCATTAAGGCAATCAATTATTCACAATGGCTGCAGCACCTCCTTGTAGGCAGAACAATTTACAATGAAACCAGACAGCTACAACACTTTATAGAACTTAAATTGCCATTAATCAACTAAACATCGACAAAAGATCGTAAGATCACGGAAAATCTCATCCTTGACAAGTCTGTCAGTCAGTTCACTTGCAGCAGGAGAGACATGTTAAATTTTATAGTTGTTCTTCGATATACAGTATAAGATTTTGCAACCTGCAGCACCTCCCTAGCTGATACTTAAAGACTGGTTTAATGATCAAAGCTAGGCACCTGATTTGTCAAGCTTGTTAAAATTAGTTCAATGGCTGGTTTTCCCTGTTGTGCAATCAGCAACAGTAGGAAACAGGCAGGTGTAATTAATCAAACACAACTTGTATAAAGCATGGGGATGCTTTTTATTAAAAACAAAACTGAACAAAAAGCTCACTTGCATTACCATTGAATTTAATTGGCAATTGGGTGCCTAAAACTTCCTCTGATATTTTTAATTCATTGATGAGTCTCTCAGCAAGACACCTTAATCAAGAACACACACTAGATTACCACACTAATTCAGAATTAAAATGACATTACATGTGAAAAATTAACCGGAAACCTAAACACTAATTAGCATACACGCAGATTATTAATCTGTAAGAATAGAACAGTTCAGTTCATTAATTAAAAAATATATTAGTAGTTCTATGTATGGGGCAATGCAGTGAAGTTTATATATTGTCATGTGCATTGAAGAGAGTAGGTAAGAATTAATACAAAGAAGATGCTACAGTGAAAGAATAGATATAGCTTTCCATAGCAACCAATAAACCTGGAGGAACTGTTGCTGTGCAGAGGATAAGATCAGAGAAAGGCATATCTGTTTATATATATAAAATATAATGAGAAAGTAAAAGGGTAGTGCCAACAGCTGGGGTCACCTTGCGCATATGTCTCCTCCCAATTCACAGATTTTCTACCTTCCTCCATCACTTTTGTTTCTTTCTTCACCTAAAAGCCTGAAGGTGGCTTTTGCCTCCCCTACTAGATTTTCGAATCCAATCTTCTTGCACTTTCGGTTACGCGATATAAAAAGATTATACACATAGATAATACGTATTAGTAAATTGCAATGTTATCAGGAAAGAAAAGAGAAAAGGGTATGTAGATTCTGAAGAAATAAAAATTTGTGAAGAGGAGGGGCACGTTGAAGTTCATGCAAATGGGAATGCTTTAAAAACTTCAGGCAGTGATTAAATAAGATGTAAAGTGAGCTTTAATGCAGCAAATTAAAGGTATTAATAGTGGGGTTTTGACTCATAATCCTCTACAGAGCTTGACATAATGAAATTTGATTAAGACTTGTGACCTTGTGTTGTGAATGGTAGGTGAAGAATAATCCCTGTACACCATTTGAACCAACAAGAGGAAGAATGCCTCACGTCATGACTCCATCATCTCAATTCAATTATGGGCCTCATTACATAGGACCCTAGTCCCAATCCTATTAATTGCTCCTCAAAATAGTCCTACTATATTTTTCAATGAAAATATTTAAAAAAATTCCATAATTATTCTTACGATTACTCTTTTTCTAACATTGATGTTCCAACCGTCAATCCGGTAGAGGTGAAAAAAATGTTAAAAGGAAAATAAAAGATGAATTTAAAACACGTTTCATATCAATTAATCGGTCACGTTATATTATTCACGTAATTAAAATTACTTAACAGAAAAAGACATGATGCCAACCTTAATCGATTAAATGATCAAAACATCAATTTTCACAATTCAAATAACAAAATAGATTGAAGCAAGTGGAAGTGGTTGGAGAAGATTGTCCTGCAGTAGCCAGCAGGTGTTCTTCATGTTACTTAAAAAAGGGTTTGATTTTTTTGTGAGAGTGAGTCGTTTCCTTGAGAGGCAAGAACCAGGCAGATTTGACATCAACGCGGTTTTGGTCCAACAATATACATGATCCTAGGCTATGCCTATTTAATAAGGTTGGTCAGCCCATCCAGCTTATTATTATTATTAATTCACTGCTCGTACTTACCCTGAATTTGTATGTTTTGAGTGTGAAACTCATGTCCTCCCATGTGAAAAAATTACTTGTACACATACAAATAGAATTTAAAATTACTTAATTAAATCTCGATTTAGTTGATCTTTTCATTAAAAATCACTTGTTTCCTTTTGACATGCTCCTAAGCAAGTTTTAAAAAATTCAAATCTTAATTTTTTAATATAAAATAAATATATATTAATTAATAAATTAAATATTCAGATCGTGTAAAAATGGACATCAATGTCTGAGACATGACATTGGTTTGAGCTGGTATTGCACAGGGTATATATAGTTCATGGACCCTGGCAAAAATTCCAGGCCTAAGCCCAGTAGTAGTGTCGGTGAGGAACTCAAGTGTTGGGGCAAAACAAGAGCTGGTACAAGGTCAAGGGGGGGGAGAGATTTGGGGTGGCGTGATAGACAAGGCAGCGTTGAACGCGTAGCATGCAAGGGTTCGATCAGGGTAAGTCCAAATGTGGACCAAGGCTGGCATTTTGCACGCAGAGTCAAACCCTGACGTGTTTCCTTACATTCTTCCTATCGGTCGGCCTCCTCCTCCACCTTCTTCCTCTTCTTCTCCATCATTTCCTTCTTACCTTCCCCACTCTCCCGCCCCCCACGCGACAGTTCCCCCCACCCTTGACCTGGACCATGGAGATTAGAGTGGTTCACGCCGTTGATTTTAATTAGAGGTTTACTACCCTTCAACCTGCCTTCTTTTCTATAAGGGTGAAAGATAAATTCTTTTGTTTTCAGGAAACTGTCTTATATTCTCTAAGAGAATATAAACATTCGTTAATCAAAAAATCTTCTATATTTTAAATATAAAAGACTGTTGAAAAGTTATATTCGAAATAAATTTTTTTAATATTTTTAAAATAGAATTGTAAATGATTTTTTGCTTTTTGTTTGTTAAACTATCAAATGACGACAAAATTATGAATAAATTCATACGAATTAATATAGCATATTCTTTGATTAATTAGTGAGTTTAGCTTGAAAATGAGCTTTTATATATTCCTCATCACTATGTGAGTACCCAAAGATTCCTAATTAGAAGAATATTACGTCAATGTAGCGTGTAGTAGCAGCGCGTAGACTTGGCAAAATTTTCTTCATGTCCAATCACTCTTTTAGCCCCAACCTGACTTCGTCAACTCAGTACAACGATTTCATGTGCATTTCCCCCTCACTCTCTCCCATATAAGGAAACTCAGATGCCAACCCAAACTCAAAACCCAAAGCCAAAACAAGCAAAATTTTCTCCTGAATTCTGTCACTTTTTCTGGCAAAACTTTCGCAAAGTTTCCCTGTGAGAACCCTTCAATGGCTCAGCAGCACCAGGTGATCACCACAGCCGTTGTTGTGTTCTTCTTAATCATCTCCACGGCTTCAGTGTCTTCAGCCAGGCTCCTGAATGGCTTCCTCTCGCATGACCTGGAGGCAGCTACGGAGCCAACCTTGAACCTTGCTCTTCCCCTCGACAGTAGCGACGACGTTGTCGTCACCACCACCTCGCAGGAGAGAGATCCTAACCACCACCACCACCACCACCACCGGCAAGTTCTGCCATGTGACCATATGGTTACCATCAAGAAGTCCCACACGGGAACCCTCATGAGGTCTCCAAGACTCGCCGGAAAGTATGGACCCATGATTCTCAGCATGCTTCCCAGGGAACCTGTGCCATCGTCTGGACCTAGCAAAGGAACCAACAACGTCAAGAACTAGATACTTCCAAAACTTGGGATGAATTTGTTATTCATTTTGGTTAGTTTATTTGTTTTTTTTTTTGGGATAATTGAGGTAGTCTCTATACTTCTATGTGTATATATAATGATTATAGAATCATATAGGGTCCTGAGAGAAGAGAGTGTTTTTTTTTCTTTTTATTGATTCCATCAATAAAAATTGATAGAAATGTAATGAATTTCTATCTCATTAATCATAGTCTTTATGGATTATACTTTCTCTGTTTATCCTATTGAAAATTCAACCAAGCCAGGCTTTCGTTTTTCTCCTGATAGAAACAAAACACTTATATAGTCTTCTTGGATTACTCTTCCTCCATATACCTTTCAGCCATAGTCATTCTTACTC